AGACTCCATTTAAATCCTGATCCTATTATGTGTTCCTGCCCTTGCAGCCCGAAATTCAAACCTGAAAGGAAGAATCCGGTGGCTACTTCTTTCTTCTGTAGTGGAGGTGGGAGGGGGTCACACTGGAAATAGCTTCAGTCCAGGAACGGGCTGTGCTGCTTTATTCTGCTGAGTAATCTCCTCTTCACTGTACAGTATTGTAATCTCCCACTATTGCCGAAATTCAAACCTGAAAGGAAGAATCCGGTGGCTACTTCTTTCTTCTGTAGTGGAGGTGGGAGGGGGGTCACACTGGAAATAGCTTCAGTCCAGGAACGGGCTGTGCTGCTTTATTCTGCTGAGTAATCTCCTCTTCACTGTATTGTAATCTCCCACTATTATAACTGTTGAGCAATCTCCATTAATCCTGATCTGGAGACAGGGTAACTGAGGCTGACAGATGCCCAGCCCTCTGGAGCTGCTTCTGCAGAAGGTCACCTGGACACATCCCAAAAGGTAAGCTCCCCGCCCCTTTTGTGATTCATGAAACACATGCGCAGACGGAGGAGGGAGGGTTGGCAGAGCAAGGTCTTGTCTGCCTTCAGAAAACCGCACACATAATAAAAAACGACCCACCCTCTCTAGCGTGGTGCATCTTATCTCTGGGCTTGAAATGTAAGGCATTTTAATTCATTAAAATTACATTGTAGTGCATTAAGAGGTATACATAAATGCTTTGAATAATACAAACAAGCTCTGCTTTTATTGGGTGCATTTTGCTCTTTGTTCAATATCCACTGAAACACAGGGCTGTGAGAGCTGAAGAGAGCTAATGGTGGGTCACTGCAATGGTCCATAAACTGTTTAACTGCAACACCCATCATCCACTAGCATTGCCCATGGTGCTGAGGGAAGAAAGTCAGAGCCTCATAGTCTTTGGCTGTGAGATCCACACACCTATCCTTATAGGTGTGTGGATCTCACAGCAGACCACCCCTTCTGGTCTCCTCTTGACATTTCGGCCTGGAAAAACTATCATCCTCTCTCTCTCCCATCATCCTTTGCAGTTCCCTTTTCAGAAAAACTAGAAAGGGATGGCTTGCTCTCCAAAATCCAGGACAAACTCCCATAAGCCTTTGCCGCAGGTCAGAAGCTGATTGGCTACCCAGCCAAAGTCTTGGGAAAGTTCCCATCAGGCTTTGCAGCAGGTCAGAAGCTGATTGGCTGGCTGGCCCACAGTCCAGGAAAAGCTCCCATAAGCCTTTGCAACTTAACCAGTTTTGTAGCCTTTGTCTGGGCCTCAAGGCACCCTGAGCTCCCTTGGCCAAAAAAAAACAAAAAACAAAAACAGGATAACTCCCAAGATCCTTTGCTTTTTCACAGCCCTAAAATATTCAGGATTTTCTTTGCCTTCAAAGTCTACAATAAGCCATAATTAGTTTTCCCCGCCCCCCCAAACTGTGAGATCCCATTGGTTCAAAGTGGAGAGACGGTGGGGGAGGAAAAGGAAACCCTGGTTGACCAATTGAAATAAAGGCCAGGGACTGCCATCCTATGGATTTCGGCGACTGAAGTGAGGGGCATGAAAGCCAGCCAATAAAATTTATTTAAGGAGACAAGACGGTCTCTTATAGGAACAAAAAAGAAGCCGCTTCCTTCAGATTTGACCGAATCAGAGTTCGCATCCAATTGATAGACGTTAAGAGTAACCAATAGGATGACAGCGACGACTGCAGTGTTTTCGGAGAGCCAACGGTTTTCTGGACAAGAAGGCGGTCTCTCCAAGAGAGGCAATGCGGTGGGGCGGGATGCTGACGAGAGAGGCGGCTGTTCCACCCAATGACTTTGAAGGGAGCCTAGATGGGCGCGACTTTCGGCCAACCGAGAGCGCTCAACTTCTTGATGAGCAGTGACCCAAGCGAATAAATTCGACAGGCGGGAGACGCCGCAGCCAATAGCGGCGGAGGGCGGGACAGAGGGAGCCGAGACGCGGCCGGGGCCCAATGAGCTCCTCCGCGCCGCTGAGTGACGAGGGGCGGGCCCAATAGAGGCGTTCCTGAGAAGGGCGCGCGGGGTGGGCGGCTGCAGTGTGGG